TGAGTTGGGACTGGTGACTGTCGCTGGGTGGAGAGGTGGTGCTAGTGGCTGTCGCTCGGTGGAGAGGTGCTGGATGGGGGATGTGGTTGGTGACTTTCGCTGGGTGGAGAGGTGGTGGTGGTGACTTTTGCTGGGTGAAGAGGTGGTGCTGGTGACTGTCGCTGGGTGGTGAAGTGGTGCTAATGACTGTCGCTTGGTGGGGATGTGGAGCTGGCGACTGTCGCTGAGTAGGGAGGTGCTGGATAGGAAGATGGTGCTGGTGACTGTCGATGGGTGGGGAGGTGCTGGGTGATAAGGTGGGGCTGATGACTGTCGCTGGGTGGGAAGGTTGTGCTGGTGGCTTTCGCTGGGTGGTGAGATGGGACTGGTGACTGTCGCTGGGTGGGGAGGTGCTTGGTGTTGAGATGGGGCTGGTGGCATTCGCTTTGTGTGGAGGTAGTGCTGATGTCTATCGCTGGGTGGAGAGGTGGTGTTGGTGACTGTTGCTGGTTGGGGAGGTGGGGCTGGCGCCTGTCGCTTGGTGGAGAGGTGGTGCTGGTTGATGTCGCTGGGTGGAGAGGTGGTGTTGGTGACTTTCGCTGGGTGGAGAGGTGGTGCTGGTGACTTTTGCTGGGTGGAGAGGTGGTGCTGGTGACTTTTGTTAGGTGGAGAGGTGGTGCTGGTTGATGTCGCTGGGTGGAGAGGTGGTGTTGGTGACTTTCGCTGGGTGGAGAGGTGGTGCTGGCGCCTGTCGCTGGGTGGTGAGGTGGTGCTAGTGACTGTCGCTTGGTGGAGAGGTGGTGCTGGTGACTGTCGCTGGGTGGTGAGGTGTAGCTAGTGACTGTCGCTGGGTGGTGAGTTGGGGCAGGTGACTGTCGCTGGGTGGGGAGGTTGGGCTGGCGACTGTCGCTGTGTGGGGAGGTATTAGGTGGGAAGTAGGGGCTGATGACTGTCGCCGGGTGGGAAGGTTCTGCTGGTGGCTGTCGCTTGGTGGTGAGATTGGACTGGTGAGTGTCGCTGGGTGGAGAGGTTGGGCTGGTGACTGTCGCTGGGTGGG